CTCATACTCCCTTTTGGTTGCGAGTTGTGGCGCTAAGGTTCTCCGGCTCGGCGATCTGGTTGTATCTCCTAATCGACACGGTGAATGTTGCTTGAAATAGTTTCTCCGCGTCACTTAAAGTGGGCCAACGCACTCCGCCTATCAGGAACTCGACATCTCAAAGCAAAGTGGCATCACGGACGGTCTGCAAAGAGCTCCACCCATTTTCTTCTAGGAGCCATAAGTCTAGATTAGGCTATTGCCGTCAGCTACGGGGGATCTGAAAGCCTCCAATACATCATCACTGCTAATCTGAGAAAGCCAATCCACGTTGATAGACGCTGCCGTTGCTGGACAGCAGGAGGGGGTTCTTTGCCTGGGATTCCCGCGTTTTCTCAGCATTCCGTGAATGGATATGGCCTTTGGTCACTGCGGGTAGGACGCTTCTAGCGATATCTTTCTCTCGGATCATAGCCTATCAGATCTGTCTCCTATGCTGGATGGCAGAATGATGACCGGCATGTGTGAAAGCGTTCTTGGTCAACTTCATAGACATCTTCACATGTGGCGGCCTCCTTGGAGGCAAATGGCTATTCCGATGGAGCCAGCAAACTTCGGCGCCTGGCCGGCTAACTCTAGTGAAAAAACAAAGCACATCGCCGCCCGGATTCTTGCTCTTGCTTAAACTCCGTGTTGTGAGGCCCCGAGTGGCATAAAACATTGTTATTGATCTGAACATCGTTAACCTGGCATTCTCACACCATTTTGACGATATGACTAGCAGTTTACTATCCGCCCCCATTGTAATGTGATTCGATGCTTGGTTGACTTTTACTTTTACTATGTCAATGTCTCAAGTTGTGGACAAGGCCATTTATCATGTGTGTATGCATATTCACGTGTTGTGGGAATGATTTATTATCATTATATTCTCGGAGGAATAAACTCTGCCATCATCCAGCTTCGGTCTCCTACTTTTATGCTCCGGGGTTGCAGTCAGCAGCTCTTGCGTACAAGGTTAGCTTTCTGTTAGGCGTATGCATTACACTCCTTTGAAATATATAACCGTTGATAATGTGAACTGACTGTAGCGGCCAGAATCCAAGAATCTTGGCATGAACGTAGGAAACAACTAGGCGGTGCCAACTGACGTTAATCTAACTAGTTCCTGCGTTCTACTGTATAGCTTCCAAACCTCCGCGAGTGACGCACAGTCAAAAGCTGGACCAAAATATCAAAACACGGTTTGTAGTAATTCAACAGTAGAATCGTAACAAAATCTGTGGTACTATCAAAGCAACAATAAGCTATGTCAAAACTACAAAAACACCTCAACAGTGCCGTTGGGCAACTATACAGTCCAAAACGTTCCCGGGTGCAAATACGTACTATACGGTAAAAACTGGTTAAACAAATACAACTGTTAAATACCTGACAGTCAATAAAAATGTTTCCGACGAAAGGGATCAAAACCCTGTCTACAAGAATCAAATCAACAAACAAACGTCCCCAGTGGACAGTCAAGAGACAAACAGTCAAATCACTGCACAACCGTAAGTTGAACCAAAACAAAATGTCGGGCGCAGTAAAACAACATCACCTTGTCAACAGTCCAGCGTCACATAATAGGAAAGTGAAAGATTCATGACAAGTCTCAAACATGCAGAGGCAAATACCGAGTGTAAAGTCAAATAAGACAGTTAAACAAGCAAATAACATTACACCGGCGAGGGTCAAAGGTACACCATCCATAACGAGGGTAAAAATGTTGAAATAAATGTCAATACAATCAAATAAGGGTGGTCGGGAGGGATTTTCAGATCGAATTTCTTTTACAGACGGAGGTGCTTAGACTGCCGCAAGGGTTAGCTTCTTGACAGTTTTTGGAGTGTTTGTATCCAGGACCACTGGACTAGGATTGACCTGGTCGATAAGCGCGAATTCTTGTGGCCCGGTCTGCTCTTCGTGGCTACAGACCTAGATGCTACTGGCAGAAAGATATTCTGTGACTGAAGAAGCTACATTCAAAGTACTTTGAGGCTGAGGTTTGCGAAAGACAATCTACTGTTACTGTGCATACCCGTAGGTCCATATGAACTATAAGTGAGGAATGGAGAAGACTGAGCAAAGCAAGTAGAAGCGGGTAATGCTAATAGGTCGTTGACCTCCGGTTATCTTGTTGTCAAATTCTGATGACTTCCGAAAGGCACTCGCTAGCTCTCTGTGCGTGAGTGAGGAATTCATTGATGCAGATGCAGTGGCATGGACCACGGGGGCTGATCGGGGCAGATTAACCCATCACACAGTTTTCATCTGCAGATTGATGACAACGGCAAGTAAGGATTATACCCTTCGCAGAGAAATTGTTGCAGAAATTTTGGGTGGAGGATGAAATCTCCGAATGAACATTTACAGACATGGTTTCCTCCCAGTAGAACGGAGGAGTGGCAAAACACGTTGCTAATAATGAAGTTATCCACAGTAGAGGTTGTCATTGAGTTTCTGGTGTTCCTGCAGAAAAGCAACTTCGTACCCCTTGCTTTTTCAGTTATTCAGAGAATACTGGGGTGGTATTCTGAGGTGGGTGGATCCACGCGCTTCAAGCGAAGGCCTTGATTCAGTACTGTAGAAGTCACAGATAATGCATCCAAGGGAAGTATGTAACCTGGGCCCGGCAAGAGCTGTTTGATCAAAGAATGTCAAGTTGCCAAAATGGCTGATCCCATAATCTGCAGTGAAGAACGTCCGGCAGTGTCCGTCCACATACATCGAGGGACAAGTCGAGGTTAGCGCCGTCTTCGTTAAGCCAGACCAATGGGTGGAACCCCAAAAACTAGGTTTAGACTTGACCTGGTTTCTGTTGGGAATTTCCCACTTCATGGATATGGCAGGAATACTGCATACTCATGGCATTGTGGTATAAGATTTCTCCGCCCGCAATGAAGCAGCCACACATGCTGCCAATATAAATTGCAAATAACAGAGGACCAAGAATACTGTTTCTCATAAGTTCAATAATTGTGGACACAATAGAATTGAACATAGTTTACTTTGGCGATTTTGGGAGGATCAACGGGAAACGATCTTAACCAACTAAGTAAGTGGTCATGAATGTTTACTGCACCCCGTCAAAAATCAAGCCACATGATGTCTCCTCAAATCTCTTTGGTGTATCAGAGTGTAGAACAACGAGGGCTGTGAGTTTGATTTTGAAACGGTGGAGGGTACTTGTAGCCCATGTGGAAGGTCTTCGTTGTGTTTTACTTTCTGAGCTGGGTGGTCCAGTAGTAGCTTCAAAATGAAGTTAGTGTTAATGACGCCATCTAGAAAGAAAATGAAAGCTCCGCGACCAGACCGAGGCTCAGGAGGCTTAACACCCAAGATTTGACATGCCATACGGCTACTGATGATGAGGGTGAAGTGGCCACTGTGGCGATTAATACTAGACGTATTCCTGAAGGAATCGCGTTTCGTTGTGATAGGACGCAGTGTAAGCAGGTTGTCGGTGATGCTGGTGCTACTCATGTCCTTCCACAATTTGAGAAAAGACTGGCATCATGTTGATAGGTCTGTCGTTAAGACTGTCCCTCATATGGGTGTACTTGTATCGAGGTATCATCAAGCTGGTTTTCATTTCGCTGTGATGTACCCCGCTTCCGACCAAAAAAGTAAACAACGTCGAAGTAACGGCAACGCATCATCACTATTTTCATGGCCGTTCCACGCTGGTAAACCCCACACTAGCGTATAAACCTAGAAAAAGTAAAGTTGGTGGAGTGGCTAGAGAGGTGACGAGTGTAGTTTACGAATAACTCGGCGAACAATTTGCAAATCCTTGAAGGACTATTACTGAATGCCACATCGTGTAATAAATAGTTTCTAGATAAGAGTAAACGGTAATTCAAGAAGGACTTCAACATGTATTTCACAACCACTTTTCAGAGCACATGGTTTCTGTTCAGGGTGCTTTTGAAACGCAAGGCGTTTACATATTCATGAGCTTGGCGTAATAAGCTGGTTATCGGGAGTCTTCTGAACAGTAGTAATAAGATGGTAATTTTTAGGCACATTGCGGAATACAAAATGGAGCCTTGTTGGTTGAATCCTATACTTTCTTCACATGGTTTCGTTTCTGGAGAGAATGGCCCGACGATCAAAAACCTCCGAATGCTCTATGGTTTTCTTCTATACTGGACCTAAATTTATCAACTTCCCTTCTGCTCTTCATAACATTGTCATCCATGACCGAGGTAGAATCCTTTGACATAATGAAAGGTGTGGGGCATATAGACCAATCATTACTTGAATCAAAAGGCTTAGCATTGCTCTAGCCATCCACAGGAACGTCTATAAGGAGAACTTTCTTTCAAGAAAGCAGTCGATTTTCGGGTCATTAGTCGTTGGCTTTAACATTGTGTAAACGCGGAAAACGAGAAGGAATTCTTGGGGGTTTTATAGCTGAAGTGCGCCCAAAAGAATTTCCAAAACTTTCAGCTTTTGAACAAGGTTAGGGTTTGTGGCGGCTGAATGTTGGATTTGGTACAGGAAAAATGATGAAACACCATCAATTACAGCGAAATACAGGATTAACGTAACGGAATAAATAGATAAAATGCTATAAATATGCACTGGTAGGGAGCTAAACACAGCAAATCTTCTGAGTGGATCAGATCAGGGGCAAAGCAGCAAAATCATTCAAAGATCTCACAGGATTACAATGTTGAATGAGGGTCATAAGGCTGGGAAAAAATTCCGTATTCAAGGGATGATACTGTAGTATTTTCCGCCTCCCTTTTACTATATTTTGAGGGAACTTGTTAAGCCATTCAACATAGTATGACTCATAGGATCGTGAGATACAAAATGTGCACGTTAATAAGTAAAACCAAGAATTGTCTTTGTGGTGAACGTGTACCCTATCAATTATGCTTGATTTCAGACAGTTGTTTCTTAAGCTAAACATCATCCTTTAATTTTGCTAGGAACTCATGGACCTACATTTGACAAGTCGAATTCTTTTTCAGTTATAGATTGCTGGTCACAGTCTGCATTACTCCAAATTCAATTTCGGAGTACTATAAAACCCGCCCAATACGTCTGACCGTGGTACTTTTGGAAGTGCGATTTTCAAAAGATTGGCCAGAGCAGAGGGGGATGGCTCCATGGAGGAGCACCAAGTCACTTTCAAAAGATCAGTTGAACCGTTTGCTTGAACATAAATATCATTGTGAAGGAGGGAGCATATGTGATAATCTTTTCACGGATTTCTGGCAAAAATCGTCGTTGTATGTACCAGTGTATGTTGCTCCAAATACGCTCACTTTACTTGGTCTTCTCGCTAATGTATTCGCACTCTGTTTGCTTCTGATATATGGAGTACGTCATTTTACTAATAGTGATTGGTTCTCCAGGCTGGTCCATTCACTTCCTTGGTGTTCGCAGCTTGCGTTTTCGTGTATCAAACTTTAGATGCATTAGACGGTTTGCATGCTCGTCGCACAGGCTCATGTTCGCAGCTTGGTGAATTGTTTGATCATGGATGTGATGCCTTATCAACATGTAAATCAAATTATAACCTATTATTCTCCAGGTATCCTCCCTATTTGTTATTTCATAGTTATTGGTTTCAACGAATGGCCGATATTGATGTTCATACAATACTTCTGTATTCAAACCATATTTTATTTAGCTCATTGGCGGTGTTACGTCACGGGAGTTTTGGCATTTGATCGGTAAATGAATAATTTAGTTGTATAGTTGCGTTTAGTGTTGGAGTTACGGAAGGTCTCATAGTCGGTATTGTGTCTTCGGTGATATCATCCATTTTCGGGTCTTCTTTTTGGAGTCTAAAAGTAAGTTATCTTGGTTTCATTGTCTTGTTTGTAGTTCACATACACATCTATAGAGTAAATGCCAGGCTTAGAACTTGTTCATAAGCAGTGGGTGGTTGGGATTCTACGGAATGTATAAAGTACCATCTCCCCCGTGTATATCTTCATTCACTTGTGTCTACATGTAGACAGATTGTTTTACTAGTGATCCTAGGGAGTTTGATTTACCACTGGTGTGTGCAATTGTGTGTTATTATCTGACACTAATCTGTCCGTACAATCATGAACTAAAGCATGTTTTCAACTCACTATAAATTGGGTTAAGCAACACTAATATAGATTCTATTGAGGAGGGAAATGATCTTAGGAGGTGATTGTGTTCAGACTTTATAAAAGAATATGCATAACTTTTGATTTTGTTCAAATTTGCTTCGCGTAATAAACTTGTATGACTGGTATTTAATGACACGTGGCTCTTGACATCAATGACTTTAATAGTAAGCACATCTTATTGTTCACTTTTGCGGAATTTCAGGTCCTTTTGGTTCACTTAGTAACTAAACAATGCATTTTGCTAGAACCAATTACTGATTTTATGTAAACGAGGGCATTTTGCCCTCGTAAAAGTTTAACCTCAAAATAGTACTTAGTTCCGTCGATCGACAAGTATTTGACCGTTCATTCACAACTGAGTGTAATGTTAATCAAGACTAACATAATTTAGGGTTTTTAGAATGCTTTGAGGAGAAATTTGAATATGTTTAGCATACGTTTCACACTTGTCGAATGTTAGAGGATGTTGAGGAATAGTGTACAGCAACTCTTAGTTTAGAGGTAAAATATGAAGAGAAATACATTCACTATCTAACTTTCCTAGGCAGTTTCTTCGGCCGTAATTGACTGGTTACTGACAAAATGTTGGCTTGTGTACAAAAGGTCTTTTCAAAACTTTCCAGTTTATGACTTCTCTGATGCCATTAAAATATCCGACTGCATATCAAAAGACAAATGTGCTGTGCAATAGTCTTTTCCCTACTATGTGGAAATTAAACATGATTGTTGTAGGTAAAAGATGTGAGGTTGAAGATTTCTGACCATTATTGTCTTTATAATTACTTGCTTGTAATGAACTCACTATTTAAACAGTTTTGTGGTCATGCTCAGAATACTAAGCGAAAAATGTCAGTCATTCGCTGGGGTTGTGTACTTTAACTGAGGGGCATAATATGCGTTGCACTTGCCGAGTCATCGCACATCTCGGTGTGCAATATTCAATGAAGTGGGACTAGAGTGGAAAAAAGGTGAAGTTGGTTCGGTCGAGAGATGTTACCATTGCATGAAGTCCAACCGCTGACGTAAGTTATGTAGAGAGGTGTAGACTACCTATTTGGGATCTTCAAGATAGTAGGAATCAATAGTTGAACACGCTTGCTGATATAGTGGAATATCAGTTATGGTTCGGGAAATATTTCCACCTTGGCATTCATCTTAGAAGTTCTGAACATATCAGTTGGCTTCCTTTTATTCCCTTTGCTTTCGTACACTTCTTTAATGTCATTCTTTTCGCCTTCAATTACTATGTTTTGTTGCCAAGTTTGACAGTTGGATTCTACGTTGACTTGTCAGTGTCTGTATTGATCTTGCAAATTAGCATTCTTCAATAAGCACATTACGAAAAGCATTAAGTGTATTAAGTTTTCTTTTACAGGATCCGATTTTTGGTATGGAACTGAAGGTCATCCAGTTTCTAGTGTTTTCGGTTGTTATGTTTCTCGTTTTCGTGCAGTTTGGTGGTACAATTTCGCAAGGTGGCTGTGGTAAATATGGAACGACTATTGCTGTAAGTCAGATTTTACATATTTTAATTTCATAGGCTCCCAAAAATGCAGACAAACAAAGTTATGTATATGAGATATAACTGCCATATGTTATGAGCCCACAAGTGTGACAAAAGCAGTGATTTCCATTTTAATCTACTAGTTCCATAAACCTAAAATCTGTTAGTTTGACGTCAATTCAGTGGTTTTGTAAGGTCGATAGAATTCTCACTGTATAGGATACTCTCTATGCCGACTTGAAAAAAGCACGAGATATTGAAGAAACTGTTTCCTTTTTGGGTTTTTTAAGTAAACCTGAGATGTAACGCATATCAGAATCGCACTAAAACATGCTGTCTGATTTCTGTTGCGATTCCGAGATGATTGCATAGCTATAGTTTTGTTAACTGTGAGTGAATAATTAGTTCTATGTTAAGATTGACGATTTAACGGGTGGATCCTAATAATAATATATGCAACTGCGTAAGTACGTACTTTATTCCCTGGAGAATGATCTAAACCTGCTAATAAAATCAAGTTGCTTACAGTAGAACAAACGAATATGACTCAGCAATCATATAAATCTAACTGTTATGCATTATGTTTATGATCTGCAGGTTTAGACCATTTAGTAAATGGAATACTCCTCAGTAATAATTTTGCAAACATACTAATACCAATCCTCTTTCATGGATATGCCGTATATCTGAGGTACAATTGTTTTAGCTCAGGGAATTATCTCCGTGTGATTTCAAAAGCAATTATCTCTCTATTATCGTCACAGTCTCTTAATTTGCATTGACCATTAGCTAAATGATGTCCAGCTTATGAGCTGTCTTAAAATACCCTCGCATTTTAGCATCGCAAACTGAATGCTATCATAAGCCCATACCCAGATGTTTCTCATAGCCTACTACATGAAGATGCATGGAATTGGTAAGAAGCATTCTCTTGCGATACGCATCTTGGTGTTCATGTTATGCTGTTTTCTGTACAAATAATAGTTTTTGGCTTCTGAAAGTTATCGCTCCACCTGTTTAAGTTCTTACAAAATTTCCTGTTTGATAAAAACACAGTATGACGGTTGTCTAGAAAGCAAAACAAATGAATAGAATAGGCAGTTAAAAAGATACTAAGTGTAATAGTACATGTATATAGCAATTATTAATCACCTACCAACCAGTCAAAAGAACAGTTGCGAATAAAAAGCTACTTAGAATTTTATACCATTTTATTATTATTTTTATTATTTGTCCCTTGGGTTTCGAGTGGAACATAGGACTTCAGTAGTACGTCTCCATTGCACTCTGTTCTCTGAAATCTTTTGAACCTGGCTCCACGACAGCCTACAAGGTCTCATTTCTTCCTCAAACGATCTCCTCCATGTCACCCTCGCCTCCGATGCCCAACTCGTCGTTTCCCATCTGGGTTCCACTCGAGTGCCTGGTGCTTGATGTCTCCGAATGGTCTTCTGAGTGCATGCTCAATCCAATCCATCTCCACTTCCTTCCAGTGCATATTTGTTGAGCGATAGCCTCTTGGTTGGTTCGTTGCTAGAGTTCCTTGTTGCTTATTCTTGTTATTCTGGCCATCTGAGCTTGAGTAACGAGCCAGCTTAGGTGGCAGTTGTTGATGAATATCTGTAGTTTGTTGGAAATGTCTTTCGTAACGCGCCAAGTTTGTGAACCATATAGAAGCACTGACTTGACGTTGGTGTTGAAAATCCGGATGTTGTTCATGCTTTATGCTGAGTAGGTCTCTACACTGTTTTCAGGTTGATGAACGCCTGTCTTGCTTTTCCGATTCTGGCTTTGATGTCCTCGTCTGTGCCGCCCGTAGTTGGAATAGTGCTGCCTAGATAGGTGAAGGAGGCTACTTCCTTTAAGTTTCTCCCGTTGATGGTGATTGGAGCTTGTTGTTGTCTGTGACGGTGTTGTTTGGGTATCTTCTTCACCTCTGTCTTCTCTACATTCACTTGAAGTCCCGTTTTCGCTGCCTCTTCAGTCAACTTGTTAGCTTTCGCCTGTAGATCAAAACTAACAAGTTTACCATGATTAGCAAATGTTAGCAATCTTGCTCCAAGTTACAAAGTTGTGCACTGTTAGTCTACGTAAAGTGCGTTGTTGAAAGTAAGGCTGGACAGAAACTAGGAAATAGTTCTAACGATAACAGAACTGGAGAAAATGTATTAAAAGCCACATAGAAAAAACTTTTTACAAACCAAGTTTCCTCAGTTGGATCTTCATTTGGAACTTATACATAATAGTAAATCAACAACGAATAAAGAGAGATAACAGCGATTGAGGGAATAAAACTATAACAGAAAAAACTGGTTGGAATGCTTTTTTACTTGTGCCTTCAGCTTAAGTCGGTGAACAGTTTTTGCTCGCTGTTATACATAAGTAATCCGTGCTCTTTTGATTCTTTTATTCTTTGTTTGCTAAGATGGACATTGTTAAAATTCTGTCAGTGTTTTAAAATGTGTTAATCGAATTATGATATTTTCTAACTAGCAATTCATATGACCAACTGTACAAAACTAGGTGGAATAGTAAGCACATTTCGTCAAAATAGTTGGTGCTTTAAGGAGAAACCACGATTTACAGTTAGGAAACTCATCTTTTTTGTACGACTGCATTGTCTATGCATAATGTAAAGATTAGTGTTTTATTCATCTCTCATTCTTTGTTTTATTTTGCTGGGTAAAAACATCTTTGAGTCGTCTGAAAAAGTGAACCATCATGCAAATTTCCCTAGGGTACATACCATTGTATCTCTCGAATTGATATTGAACAATCTGGGTGCTGGAGTAAGTAGAAATGATATGCTGATCTCCAATAATGTGATTTGTATGAATTGGGATGGGAAAAAATATTATATAGGCGTTTTGTATTGATTATTACATAACTAGATAGTATCATGTAAATGTTTAGTAAGTAATCTTGTTTGTTCTTCATTTTATATTTTAGAACACCAGTATTTTGTTTCCAGTCTGTCCTCTCGCACTGTCGCTCGGTTTGGCTGCTTCCATTGGCATCAATTCTCCAATAAATCTGTATCATCACTCACCCTTTATCTTTCTTTTAACCTTTGGAGTTGTTCTAGCGAAAGTTTCTCAACGTCTAGTGGTAAGTGTGGTTTTAGGAGTGCATACTTTGATTATTTTACTTTGTCGACCTTACTTCTATTGGAATCCAACAAGTGAGGAATTGAATAATTGAGTTATCATCAGTATTAAGAACGGGATCTGTGACTGTGTTGAGTGATCACTGTGTGCCTGTAGTCATAATATCAAAGCTGGTTTGTCTGTAGCTTGATGATTTATAAAGGTTAATGAAGTTCAGTTATAAGAAATACCTATGCATTAATGCATGTGAAGAAAACCATAATTATCTCTTACCACTGAGAGATCTTAGCGATTTATTTTACCTCTGTAATCAGCCACCTAAACAAATAGTTCTGTTAACTTATGCACTAACTGAACACCCAGCCTATAGCTGCTACCTTAATATGGTAGTCAGTCTTGGATATCACAATTACCCAACGGGTTATGCTGGTGAAACACGTACTTCTTTGAGGTCCTACCATACCAGATAGGTCTGTTGGATAGCTGTAAGACAAGAACTAGTTACCTTTATAGTTATGAGGGTCTGGTGACAAAGTCATATTGTTGGCTGGACGGGAATGTGACGACCTCAAAGTGTCTCTCATGGATGACTGGCAGTCCACGATGATGCTACCTCCCCTGCGGAAACCGGCTTCAAAACTAGCGTATTTTTCACTGTCTTGCAGTGTTCTCTTGCTAGTTATATGAGCTTTCTAGCCGGATTTTAGACAATCAGTCAATATTACTATATCATCTTTTGCTTCTTCAAGACCTTCAGTTCTTGATAACGGTTCGAGTTCACGGAACAGCATATCTGGTTTCCCGAAACTGCATTTTTTATCGAATCTACTAAGAAGCTTCGCTAGCCAGACTCTAACTTCATAAGCCATAGACGTGTACCATGTTTATGAGACTTGAATACAGTTACTAACCCAACCTCGAATCGAAATGCACTCAGGAACCTTGTGCACATTCATAGAGTAAGCAATGAACCACATCTACTGTATGAGGGTTAGTGATACAACCTGGCTGCCCAAACGTCGGTGGGTGAAGTAGGGCTCAAACCCACTACCCTATTGGTTAAAATTTAACTTCCTAAACCAATGGGCCATGGCTCACCCAACCTCGCCTGGTAAATATGATGAATCTGTAAAGTCCACTCTTCGACTTTCTGCAGATTTGTTAGGTACCCTTCTGATATTTCAGGTGTAGGTATAACTTCAAGTTGTAAGGTAGGATGTGCTCTGCTCGATCGAATCATAGTTATCAGGTACCTGTGTGCTCTTTGACTGATTGGTGCAGTGAGGACTAAAAGGAATAGTGAAACTCGCCATCGCCTGTCTGTAGTGTTTACTTACGTACCTACTCATGTTAAAGTTGAGTTTTATCGAAAACTATCTAGCTTCCTACTGCAAGCCAAACGTTCAAACGTGGTTTTCGTAGCAGGTGGTTTCAATGCACAAATGGGTACGTTAAATCAGGCGGAAGTATACTTAAGTGGTGCTTTCGGAATCCCAACTGATTGAAGGGATAACGGAAATTGCATGCTACAAATGTTATCAGATAGTCATCGATTACCTTCCATCACGAACTTCAGCTAAAGAGAGATATTGTTTGATGTGGTCTCCATTGACTTCAAGCCACCGGTGAACACACCATATTTCTGTCAGTTGTCGCTAAAGAGGGTCGGCAGAAAATTGCCGCTCCTTCTGAAGCACGTGTTCGTATCATGGTCATACGTACATGTGAGACTAAATAGAAGTTGAAAAACTACAAATGTAAAAGGATTCCGAGTGCATCTTGACGATGAGAATATAGAGACTGCTTTCAGTGAGAAACTAACCAAACACTTACTGGAACAGGACAAAATCATTGATCCCGAAGAAACTTAGCGCCACCTTTAGTTTGTTGTGAAAGCAGAGTAAAAAATGTGACTGTCTATCAGAAAGAAGTTTGGAGCAGTCAGTGGATCTCAGCTTCTGAAATTGTGAATGCACGCGAACTTATTCTTACAGGTTCCGAACGCGATGGGGAGCGGAAGCAACTGAAATGTAGACTGACAAAGAGTCTAAGCATTGTCTCTTAGAGTAGTGGGCAGCGAAGGTTGAAGGTTTGGAAAAAACCGCCGGCCTTGGTAACAGTGTATAATTATTTTGACTGATTCCAGAAGCAGCCAAACAAACTTAATGTTTAGGGTGACATTTGCGGAGGAGGATTAGTCTGCGATATGCTCACAGAGGAGGTAACTGAAATGATTGGCAAAAGACTTCAAGGAATAGTGCAACTGGCTACCGATAAGCTTTCGGTTGCCTATTATCCAGTGGGATCTTAAATTGGACACTCAGGTGAGCCATCCAGTCATTTCGGAACTGGCGAAAGCTGTAAATAATTTGGAATGAACAATTACCACTGGTGTGGATAATTTAGTAGCAAAGATATTTGAGGGATGGTAGCCGAAAGTTGTTAGTTGGATTGACTGAAGTATTGGTTGATGTATAAGAATCAGGTATGACTTTCTCAGGGTAGTCCCAGGCACTAATTGCCTCAGTCTTCAGAAAAGGAGATAACCACCGAGGAATCAGTGTGACGAACATCGCATCTAAGATCCTAAGTTAGACTCTAATGTGTAGCGTGGAAGGAGCGAACTCGAAAGAATCAAACAGGTGTTGGACCTGGGTATGAGTGTGTTGACTAGATGTTCACCCTCTGTCAAGTTTCGAAACTCAGGTATACTTACGTCACGCCGTTGAAGGCTCTATGTCCGAACACTCGTCAACTTGTTACAGTCCATGGTGAATTACCAAGTGAGTTATGTACACCGGCTGGTGTCCACTATCTTCCTTCTTGTTTAATTATGTTATCCACGTGTTTATGGACATCTCTCTGTCCTCGTGTGTCTTTGCAACAATTCACTTTTTCACAAGAGACTGCTTAGGTAGACCTAGAGCACACAGACGATAGAGTTCTATTAGGTGAAGATGTTTCACAAAATGCAGAGTCGTCGAAACACAATAAGTAGAAATTTGAGAATGTTTGTGATGTATCTCCCGTAACCTAAATGCTAATTGTTGCTTCAGAACTGGTCTGCGTTGCCACCCCAGCTTATAATATGAAATAAAAGTGGTTAAGCGCTTCGAGAATTTCACTTATTTGGGAAGTCGGATCAGCCCTAATGCACCTGTGACCGAAGAGGTCTTTGTCCAGATACACAAAGCTTGTTTGGCTTTTACCAGCTTACGTCATTTGTAGTGCTGCTGTGTTATCTAATTCCCTATTGTGAAGTCGAGTGTGCTGCACTGCAGTTGACTCTCGTGCGCTCATTATCTGCGAAACATTGCCGGAAAATGAATAGGGCTAAAGAATGTCCAAGGTTTTCGACTGTAATCACCTCTGCACAGACAAAGGGTTGTTGTACTGCCATATCAGTAACGCAGAAGTCAGTTGTAGAGTTTTAGGTAGAAGAGGTAAATCAGTTGATGAGGCTGTTAATCTTCATTGACTGAGGTAGCTGTGACATGTACACCTAGTCATGCTTAGTTACCATCTACCCCATAGCTCAGTGTTAGATAAAGTAGGTTCATGCTTGATGGCGGCAACCAGACTGGAAAAAGGCATCAGTTCATAAAGTCTCTGACTGTTGTTTTGAGCTGTATAGCCACGTGCAGACTTCCCAGTCAGGATCCCTTTCATAACTTCAATCCATCCGTCCAGATCAACCTAGGACCAGGCATTACTGCGTAACGGTCCGAGTTGTCACACCTCATATCACCACATCAAGTAAAAAGGCAGTGAGGTGCAAGATGAAGAAAAGAAAACTCAGTCAAAAGAAAAATCAAGTACTAAAAGAGAGAGAGAGAATGATAAAATGCTGAGATTCGGTATAGCGTCGTTAAGACGAGGGTAGTGTAGTGTGTGTATACACCGATTCTGAACCATGCCACCTGGAGTCTCGAACCACTAGTTTCTCTTGTCCTGTGGACCCCAACCATCTAGTGTGCATCGTCCCACATGACTCAAAGCAAGAATCAAAGACTTCATATATTGATGTAATGTTTTAGTGTGGCCACCTCGAGCGTTTTTCCAGCGTGGACTTACTTCGGTGAACATTGTGTGACGAGGCAATGGGTGACTGACTAGGCATGCGTAATACGTGTCGGAACCATGTCATTCGATGTAGGTTCATAACCGTATAAAGTGATTTACTGCTTCTCGGTGAAACTCTACACCTGACGATGTGGGTTGCTCACATGGTGAGACGAGGGAATAGGGTGTATTGTACGAAGGCAACGGTTGTCAGCCAGCTGTAGCCATTTGATGTCTTTGACGTTGAATGGTCATGTTTGAGAGTGATAGAGTAGAAGAGAGTGTACTGCTGTGCAGGTGCAGTATACGCGACCCTAATAGACAACTGGACATCACGGCTGTGCCATAGATGGTGTAGGTTGATAAAAGCCAATCGAGGTTTTTGTATACGTGGGGAGATTTCACTGACCAGTGAGCCATCAGGGCTGACCCTAATTCCCAGGTAAGTGAAGTGGTTAACACACTCAATCACTTCACTCTCTATTGTTAGTCGCGGTGGGGGGCACCGTTGAAGGCCAGTCCTGGAGCAGCGGTTTGCATTTGGGTGGTGAGAAACGCATCTCAAACATTCTCAAATTGCTGCTCGAAGTGTCCAGAAGGCTCTGCATCTTGTCAGCGTCTTCACCTAACAGGACAATGTCATCTGCATATTCTAGGTCTAACAAAAATTCTCCTGTGATTAGGTCAACATCTGTGTAACGTGGTGACGAGAGGGAGACCTCCATGAGAATATCTATGGTAAAATTGAATAAGAATAAAGACCCTCGACGGACACCACTCGATGAGCGTAACTCCCTGGACATCTCACCATAGACTGTAACGTGCCCACAAGTGTTCGAGTAGAGAGCCTTCAATAAAGTGATATACTTACTCGACATGCCTTTCAGTGAGAGACATTGCCGTAAGACTTCTGGATCAACGGAAGACTTCTCGATCATAACTTCAATCGATGGTTGTATATCAGGTGATATGGTTTTGGATCGGTGTCAGTCGCATAAATGCACCCGTGTATTATCTTCATCTTTATCGTCATAACGAAATTGATTATTGTCTCATTCCCCCTCGTTTTCTTTTTAGAACTTTCTATCAATTTTGACTAATTTTTTCCTTATTTCTGTATCTTTCATGTGTATACCCACTAACTTGATGTGGTGATGTGAAGTATGGAAACTTGGAGCGTAGTAATTCTGGGTCCCACGCTAATGCAGGACTGACTAGCTGAGCTACTGTTGTATCTATAATGTACTAACTAACACTGTCACCTTTCATATGTTATTTAGTTTTATCTGGAGGTTTGTCGAGGTTTATTAATTGATTTTGGGTTGGAATTCACCATGGACTGACATCAGTTGGAGGAAAATGTGAAAATTTGGAGCACTCGACAGCCTTTTCATCCTAGTATGGGACTCCTCAGCAGTGCGCACCCTTAACCTCGCCCCACCAGATATTGAACCCACCGCCTTCAGGTTCCGTGACCAACACATTACTATTCAACCACTGTGCAGGGATCCACTGGTCCATATTTCCTACTTCTGTGAGTTCATGATATAGCTCGACCTACATCCAATGTCGTCGTTGAGTAGCTTTCCTCATGTTTGACTTGGTTGACTCCACTGGTCACGAATTCTCATTGGAACTTCGGGAACCACCTCTCGAAGCTTAGTTTTCCCTGTTTTGATTAAATAACAATGACCACCTGTAGCCGTTAGTGTATCTACTGTGATTATATGTCATAGCGTTAATGATGGATAATGGTTAGCAGTGGAATCCAAAACGTGCGTTTTATCCTTTTTGAGAGTCGTCACCTGTTCCTGATAATATCTGTATTAGTTGTCCTTCCATTTTATCACTTTTAGTCTATGCACATGTTACGAAGTTCCTGGCGTTTTTAGAGAATCTCTCCATTTAAATCATTTAAATAGAACACGAATAACAATTCAAAGCAAAATAATGTAGATTCATTTTATTTTAGCCTTTGTCATCAGGTGTCATCAAGTTGAATTGATTTTTGATCTCAAAATATACAAAGTTTTCTGGAGTAATTAAATTAGTTTTATGGCAAATTATTAACTCTATGAAATGATAACATCAGTGTTATATAATCAGTGACATAAAAAATAAGCTAGCAATAAAGTTGTGCATACATAGAAAACCTTTAACAATAATAGAAGTTGATCAATGTAACACATTTCATAAATGAAAACATATCTGTAAAGTAAATTCCTGTCAGTTATAGATTTTAAGACTGTAAACAATTTTCTATCATGTGCTTGACTACTCGTCGTACAAGTTTTGAAGAGATTGACTTCTTTTTTTTTTGGAAAAAAGTAGTAAGTTTGCTCAAAATGTGACTCATTGTTAAGTGCATGAAACAATTGTACTTGTTTCCAAAGTTAGATTATCTACTTCCAATTTTTGATTAGTTTAAATTTTGGTAGGTTTTACACTTTCAGAGTATTTCTGATAACCATGATACTGTAACTAGATATAACTATACTGATCACTAATTCCATATTAGATTTGTTTATTTAATTTATAACACACCGAGTAAGATACAGTATTATTTACTTGATGACGTTTTGAGCATAAATTATCGCTCATAATTGTATCAGTGTGAACAAACTACTTTGGATATCTGATTTTTATAGTCCTATCATATCTCTGGTATAGAGTGTTATGTTATTCCTATTACATGTGTTAGTTGGGTGTTGATTCAATAAACAAAGAGTCAGTAATTTCTCAATCTCTACCTAATTATATTGGACTGGAGTACAATGGTTTTATCGTACCGTATTGTGTGATTATGTGTTAGTGCATGCATTCGAATAACTGTGTTTTATTCTAGATTATTGATCCTTTTGAGGCCTGTCATTCTACATTTGGCTAACTTTCTATGTTCCGATAATTTAACTGACCTCGATCGGCTAGTTGAACCTATATACTTGACATCAAAGTCAATGCATACGATTTGGTAGGTTAGATAATTTGACTGAATTGGATCTGTGGCATGCTTAAACCAGTGAGTCTTAGATGAAAAGGAGTTCAAAGCCTCTATTGTGCTACCATCTTGGGGAGGAATATCAGAAACTTTACGTAAGATTATTAACAACGCTACAATTAGGGTGGTTGGCATTGAAACCTACAAACTCACTCCGAGATAAGCTTTTTTGGCTTAAGGATCCGATAAACCTAACTAAGAAAAATTATCTAATCTTCTGAATTCCATGCATTGACTGTGAGGTCAAGGGCATACGTTAAACTACTCGATCGGGATCAATTAGATTATCGGAATATAGGAATTTAGCCAAATATAGAATGACAGACCTGAATAAAATCAATAATCTAGAAGAACACTCGGCTATTCCAGTGCATATATTAACACACAGTAACATAATAGGGTTCGATAAAACCACCTTCGTTCATCGAATCAACACGCAATACATGTAATAGGAATGATGCAAAACCTATACCAGAGATATGGAGAACTTTACTATCAATAGGAACAAAGAATATCAGGTGATAGTACCCGAATTTCATGAAAAGTTTTTTGGTTAGTAACCCGTCGCATTTTAGCCATCACATGAGTAACTGAATTATTCACAAGCAAGATGCTTCGGAACAAATCATTTATTCGTTGACGATTTGTAAGATCACTGCTCTTCACAAGTATGACTTTCAGAAGGCGTTTAATTAACACTTACATTCTATCGTGTCATTAAACTGACAAGTTATATCTCTGGTTGAGATTGTACGTCTAAGTGTCTTCCTAATTTCAGTCTTGTTGAGAATCTTACGTAAAGTTTCTGTTGTTTCTTCCTCATAGGATAACACATTATAGGCTTGAAACTTCTTTCTACTCGTGTTGTCACTATTATTCGTATTCATAGTGCATCCTACCACAGGGCTCAAGTTGTACGCCTAAACTAATGACTAATTTCATGCAATGCACATATCGATTGTTTTTTAGGAACTCTATCGCTCATTTATAAGTTAGAATTTAAATGTTTTTGGTTGGTTTACCATAAGTTCCATAGAACAATAACACCTTTTGAAAAAGTTTGTTTTGTGTCACAATAATTCCTTCATAGTATGACGCAGATCTACTGAGTATACAGTTAGTGAAAAAATTATACATAATTTCTTGAACCAAATTTCATCTCTTTACCCCATATATCTTTATTGATAATTATTTTACTAGTTTTCTCTTATTTTATAGATTGCTCATATGACGAAGAGCGCTATCAGTTTATTCGACACAGTCATGTTTTCAGCTGCTTTATTACTCATAAATCAATATTTTTCGTGCCCAGTAAACGAATTCATAGTTCTATGGATCTCCTTAGTAAGTAAAGTTTTCTATTTTTCACTTGTTATCATCAAGCATGTTCATCTCTAGGCATCATGGAATTTCACAAGTCTGTAATTGAATGTATACTTCTATGAGCTGCTTACTAAGATTCAATCTTTCACTGAAAATACAAAAAATGTAAGAAATTTTGATAATTGGTGAGATTTAATCGCTAACTAGCGAAAGAAGCTGTTGCACATAACAACTAGTTATCAAGTCATGCTTTAACCTTTGTTGGTAGTTGTTACTCCCTGTAGATGTTATAAAGACTTTATCAGGCAAATTTAAGTTATATTTAGTTCAAACATATTAAACATCTTGGCACCGGACAATAATACGTCATCTGATTTCTTCCAGCTGTATAGCTATCGATAATGATCTGAGTTCACTAAGCACCATCCCTGATCTTTTGAAATCGCTCACCAAAGTACACAATGGAGCTTTCAATGTCCTCACCCTCCGTGTAATCGGCAAGCAAACTTCGCTAGTCGAAACTAGTATTTTGGGCCATGGATGTGTGGTGTTTATGAGATACGCATACAGGACAAAAAGACGTCTTTTTGTATTCTTTACTTAAGCACCCACTGGTTGCAGTTCGGATGAAGTGAAGGGTGAGTTTTATGGAAAATTCTAACCTCGTACTGAAAGCTAAACGTTTAGACGTATCTGTCTTAGCAGATGATTTGAATGACAGTTGGGTAAACTAAACTAGGCAGAAACGGAATTAGGTGATACTTGAAATCACAGCCGAACGAAGAGATAACAGCAATCGTCTTCTACAACTGTGCTCAGATAATGATTTATTTCTAGCCAGCATGAACTTCAAACAAAGAGAAGCACTGTATAACGAAGCGTCCACCGACTTCATCTCAGTGGTGAACACAGACAGACCACATTGGTATCAGTCATCGCTGGGTAGGGTCGATGGAAGACTGCTGCTCCTTCTTGAGGACATGTTTGCACAGCGGCTTCGCGTTGCTTCGAGCACCTGTAAATGTGCATCTAAATGAAGTAAGAAGGAAGGAAGGAAACTATGATAGGATCAAGAGTGATTTCAGTAGGAAACCGACTAGACAGTTATCGAAACAGAACTATAGCACCCATCCAGAAGAAGCTTGGCGCCATCTCTAGTCTGGTTTAAAACAGCGATAAAGACCGTAGCTGACTCTCAAACCATGGTGAAAAAGAACCCGTGGATTCTAAATGCAGAAATAATTTGTTTGTTTATGCTGGGTAATAGTTGATGGTGAGATGAAAATTTAGACCGCGGCCGAATTTAAACCGACAACCATCGGGTTTCCGGCCAGATCCTCTACCAACTGACTGAGCTACAAGGTTTGACTGCTGATCAGATCTTGATTTCACTTCAATCACCAAGAGTTTTGCTCGACCACCATGTGAATTCGTGACGCGTTACTACCGCTTGATCGCGTTCACCACAATTGCATATCCAAACTCATTATCAATATCAACATAGGTCCAGGCATCACTGCTTAACGATCTGAGTTGCCACCCGTCATATCACCACACCAAGTAAAAAGGCAGTGAGGTGCAAGATGAAGATAAGAGAATGCAGTCAAAAAAAATATCAAGTACTAAAAGAGAGAGAGAATGATAAATGCTGAGATTCGGTATAGCGTCGTTAAGATGAGGGTAATGTAGTGTGTGTATACATCTGTGCCACTGACACGGATTCTGAACCATATCACCTAGAGTTTCGAACCACTAGTTTCTCTTGTCCTGTGGACCCCAACCACATAGTCTGCATCGTCCCATATGACTCAAAGCAAGAATCAAAGACTTCATATATTGATGTAATGTTTTAGTGTGGCCACCTCGAGCGTTTTTCCAGCGTGGACGTACTTCGGTCAACATTGTGTGACGAGGCAATGGGTGACTGACTAGGCATGCGTAATACGTGTCGGAACCATGTCATTCGATGTAGGTTCATAAGCGTATAAAGTGATTTACTGCTTCTCGGTGAAACTCTACACTGTACTGCTGTGCAGCTGCAGCACACGCGACCATCAATAGACAATTGTATTCAAAATACGACATGTCATATAGTCAAATGATAATATGATGCCCCCCCTCTAATTCACTTAGATTGGAATAAGAAGTCCTGATTAGATAGCCAGTGTGAATACAATGAAGTGGTAGTAACACGCCACGAATTCACCTGGTAGTCTGGCAAAACCTATGGTAATTAAAATGAAATGAAACTTTGGTTAGCGGTCGAACCTCGTAGCTCAGTTTGTAGAACATCTGACCGGAAACTAGATGGTCGCTGGTTCGAACCCGGCTACAGTTTAAATTTTCATTTCACCTTCTATCATCTTCCCCGTATTAATACTAGTCTGCAAAACTATGGCTATTTCAGATGGTCAAATGATAATTTATTTGTTATTTTTGTATCCTACATAGGTGTATGGAGTTGTGAATATCATAGTATACGATGCAGATGTATGCATCCAACTAGCTGACTTTCTCAATATTTATATATTCCGTGTGCGTCAATCATCGTGTACACATCCTACTGTCAAGAATCTGTCAGTAAATTATTCATCACTTCAGGATAAGATCCACAGGAATCCTAATCGTGCACGAAACACTTCTCAAAAGTGGTAATTGCAGTCATATTGTTTTCATGTTTTCTTCCTAATCACTTTGTACTTGATGGGATATATATATATATATATATATATATATCACATCAGCTCATCGATATGTTTTTCGTGTGTATAGTACCAAGTAAATTTGAATCTCAGTTTTACTATCCTTAAAGATTGTGATTTATCCATCAGCTAAACAATGTCAATTTCACATCCTCCGATGTATAAAATCTTGTGTATTTATATATTCGTGTGAACACGTCATATTTTGTGAAAAAATTGTGTGTAGACTTATTACTTATCGATGTTATATGTAATTTTATTTACAATGGAAGGAATAATTTTCTGTTTATTTAATTTCTATCCTATCCTTACTGTTCACTTTCTTCCCTCTCCCAGCCTCTTAACCAGAATACTTCTTATGGAGTGACTTTAAAGGCCATTCTAGGGCAACTGCTGTAATAACCAATCAAGTTTTGATATTGTGGTAAGAAAGGCAATTTCTCATCAAATATTGAAGCCTGATTGGTTATTTCAGTAGTTGCTTGGGCAACTTTTAAAGTCACTCCCTTTTATCGTCTACCGTCGTTTTATTTGTGCACCACTTTTATCTACTTAATCGATAATCATTTTTATTATTTCTTTCATTTTCCAAGGTAAGAATTTGTATGAATCTATTGTTAATTACTTTCTGTACTTCTCTCTATTGGCTTACAATTATACTGTATATGCGTTTTTGTTAACTAACTCCGTTCTCATTTCTTGTTAAAACAATTTATCTACCTGTCTTTATGTCCACTTATTTAGTTTATTAATATATGAAGTCTGTTCGCCGTTTGTCTGTGTAACTGTGAGTAATCCTGTCTTAATTTTCATTTTCCTTCATTCGTGTCATATGAGTTGTGAAAGAGAAAAAGGAAGTTGCGATATATACACCGAATTGTCAGTGATACATTTCCTGAACATCTCTTCTCACCTCTTCTTTTCTTTCGTACATGACTAGTACACAATATACAGCGAACTTATGTTTTTTTTTTTAAGATTAAAGTATTGGCACTGTTCGAAAGAGTATTTTACTACCTGTTTCTTAAATAATGTGATGTAACTACCACAGATATCATCAATACAATGTCACTATGATAATTGTTATGTGGGCGTATAAATATGGATGGCTTATTCTATGTCTCCTTTCAGTAATGAATTTTATTTACGAATCTATTTGGTTACATTTCATATGAAAGACAGATTTTTGCTTTGCTAAACTATATAATTCTTGCTAACAGCCTGAAAGTTTTTTAATAATTGTGTATCTTGTGATTCAAGTTAGTTATCGTTTTGGTTACTATATTGGTATTCTAGATTTTTATAGTAAGTACGAAGTGACTGTTGTTAATCGTAACATGACTGTAAATGAACAACTCAAAGAATACTACTCTTTATTACTAAGAAGTGGGAATAACTGAAGAATAAAATTGTTTCCATTCTACTCTATAATAACTCGAACTAATCTCATTTTGGACGGTATAAAACAATGTTAAAATGGTGGAGAATATTTGTAGCTCAGGTGGATGGTCTTGATTGTTTAATCGTGTAGCTTTCATCATCTTGCTAGACGATATCATCAGCATTCATTTCAGTAAGAAGACCGGTAACCAATTTCGTTTAAGAAGTTATTAAACTGAGAATAATCAGAAGAGGAAATGATCGGCATGGATATTGTCAGATCATCAGCATATTTAACAAAGTTATCTTTAGTTAAGGTTGGTAAGTCAATCAAAAAGAAGGAGAAGAACAGCACCTTGAGACCTACCGGCTTCGCTAAGCAATGAAATAGAGCATTTCCCTCTGTATAGAGTGTACTATCTTCTTTCAAAGAAATACGAATCAAGCCAGTTTACAATTCAGGGCCGAATGTGAGTACTGCCAAGCTTGTTTAATAAGAGGAGTTTGGGGATAGAGTCGAAGGCAGATCTAATATACTTGGCATCTTTGTATTGTTTCCTTGACAAATGTGAACAGTGTGATAAGAATAACTTCACTGGATACATTGTGTATTTCGCTACCTTCTCTTTAGCTGCTTACACATCGTTCATAGTCAGTTATTGAAAAATATAAAGATAAACATACTTCACAAATTAAAATCTTTTAAAGAGTAACAGGAAAGATTAAAGTTCAAGGTGGGAATGAAACAGTTGGTTTCTGGAGAGATTGTTTTATGAAATTAGGACGGTAATTCCACAACAGGGGTGATAATCAGTCACAAACCTTAACATAGAGATAATCATGAGCTACAAGTAAAATGTAGCTGAATAGAATTTGATAATTCATAATCATTACTAAGTCCGAAAAGAAGAGAGGATAAGACAGAAGCCGTTTGTAAGTTTCTCACCGAAGTCATTGTAGGTTAACCTACTGAGTCTGTCTAGAATAAAAAAAAATGAGGTTTGAACTTTCTAACAATGAAATACCAAATATACTATGAAATTTGTGTAGAATTTTAAGAAGGTAAGC